GTTTCAGCTTGTAGTTTAGGCTCGTACGCCAAAGAGCATATTAACTTGTATTTTAGGCTCGTACGTCAAGGAGAATTTCAGGGAAGAATTCCATCAATGTAACTTTCCTTCTAACCTTTTGTGATGAAGCATTAATGTACTTTGATTTGGTGTTAGATTTTATGATTCCGCATTATTGAAGCTGATTTGTACTTGATTTTGTGCCGACTTTTGAAAGTCGGAATTTAGAAGTCCCTTGATGCTTTTCCTTTTGCGAGCGACCAAAATCCATGCATCGTCATTCTTTTCATTGGAGAAGTCATATACTTTGGATGTGATTGTTGTTTTCTTCAAGGTAGAAACTTCAATTGGTTCAAAGCTCCCAAACTATAGTATGATTACACCTTCTTCAATTTTTGGAGATGCCATAGGGGGAAGAGCTTCTGAAATCGAATCCTTTTTATGATCAAGTTTGACACTTGCATGGTTTATCTCAGTTGTTTCATCAATGTCAATGCTGATCTTTCCCTCCCATGACAATGTCATGATCTTTTCCTTCAAAATGAAGCATTTTGTGGTGTGATGACCGATGATCCAGTGTAATTTACAATACATAGGATCATCGACTTTATTGGATTCTTTGGGTCGCTTTGACTCTGGGAGTGCAATGACTTTCTTGATTAGCAGCTCATCAAGAATCGCATGAACGTCAGTGTCCGTAAAGGGATAATCTTTTGCTTGTAACTTCTTCAAGGTAGATTGATTTTTCACTTCTCGTGTTTGTTGATGCGCCGCGATCTCTTTCAACTTTTGTCTTGTGGAGGCCTTCGTAGAAGTCATGGTTACTGTCATGGACTCATTAGTTGTGTATCCTAATGGCTCATTCAATTTGTATCATCTTTTCTTGGATCAAAGAACCGGTGATGTCTTTCCATGGCTTGCAATGCTTAACTCCATGTCATGAATGCGTATAGCTTGTTCATCAAAAGTTCGAGGCTTAATTCCTTGAAGGATATATACAAGGCCCCAATGCATTCCTTGTATACAAATTTCAACTGCAGAGATTTCAGAAAGTTGGTCTTTTCAATCGAAGCTCAACATTCGCCAACAATTGAGGTAGTCCACTACGGGTTCATCCTTACTTTGTTTAGTGTTTGTCAATTCCATCATGCTCACTGTACGACGGGTACTGTAGAAACGATTTAGAAATTAATTTTCTAGTTGCTCCCAACAATCAATTGATTCAGGATCCAAGTCTGTATACCAATTAAAGATGTTTTCTTTTAAAGAATGAACAAACTACTTGACAAGAAGATCACCATGTGTACCGGTACTGCTACAAGTCTCGACGAAATGGGCAATATGTTGCCTTGGATTTCCCCTTCCATTAAATTGTTGCAATTTTGGTGGTTGATATCCAATTGCATCAATAAACCCTCGATTCGCTTAAAATACGACTTTGAATATCCTAAGGAACTTTATGGCGAGCCAACATATTGAGCTTTAATTGTGTTTGCGATCATTTCTTATAGTTGTTGAACTAATAGAGTGGCCGCTGAAGCAGATCGTCTTGCGCTTTGAGAGTCAACTATCTTGGTGGGAGAATCGATATCAACTTTTTCTTGCATTGTTAGATTGTGATGTGACTCGCTAGAGTTGTAGAAATCTAACTTGCTCATAAGTTGAGCGATTTGGAGATTTTTGTCATCAATAAACTTCTTCAAAGCTTCAATGGTTTGCTCCATCATTGCGAACTTCTTGTCCATGTCAGTTGCGTCAACCATCAAGGAGTTAACCTTTTTTGAAATTGAAGAATCCACTGAATTCTTAGATTCACCAAAGTTAAAGCCAGAGTAAGAAAGTTCATCAAACAACTTAGATGTAATAATGCCGCCAGGGATTTTAGTTTTGAATGCCATTTGACACTTGCTCTTTCTTGCCATCTCCAAGGAGGTGAAATATTCAGATCCATTCAAGGCACTTGTCTTGAACTCGCGTCCACTGATTGGATCAACATCACTAAAATCAACAAATATGGCAACAATAGAGTCCTTGCATGAAACATCATTGATCTTCTTGAAGGCCATTGCAAAGTTGAACTTGTTGTTTTTTGATTGTAGGAGGAAGAGATGAAGAGCAGAATTGGTCCCACTGGGCGTGCCAAATTTGTTCGCAACAATTTTCCATAAGCGCTGAAAATTAACTGCAAGCAAAATAAATAAAAGAAAAATGTGATATTTATTGATGAATCTTGTGAGTACAATTCTGTTGTTCTCTTGATTCTTCTCTCCTAAACTTCTCTGTGATTCGAGGGCCTTCTGTAGGATGATGTAGACATCCTTGAGATGTATTTGATCTCCGGGAACGTTGGGAAGCACTTCGTTGTTTCAAGTCAATCTCCGGAAAGAACTCCGTTGATCACTCCTTCGAAGAGCTATGTAGTTGATGTTGTAGCTTTCTCCAATTGCAGAATGCTTCTTGAAGAGTTTTCTTCCTCCAATTGTAGAATGCTTGTTGAAGTGTTTTCTTGATGCCTTTAGAATGTCATGTACATCCCCTATTTATAGTTGTGGGGCTGGACAAGAATGCTTATGATTGGCCAAAGAATGTCATTTTGACACTTGGCAGATTGTGATTGGTTCTTACATTTGATTGGGACTACCACCTCATTTGGACACGTGGCACTGCCTTATTGGTCTTGGATGCCTAGTCATCGTGACACTTTGCATAGATTTGGGCTTCAAGGTGAAATGGACCTTGAACTTGAATTAAATAAAATGAACTTATTTATTTGTAAAGCTCAAATTAATCATCCAATCCAAATAAATATGCATTTAATTCAAATTTTGTATGAATTAAATCCAATAAAATTTGTGTGTCTACACTATCTATTAGTAATTTACAAGCCTTGTGATGTATGATGTACAAGTAGAACCCGTCTAGAAAGAAAGTACATATCAAGAGTTAAGGTACATAGAACCTGTAAAGGAAGAAAGTACAGAGACATTTTCTTTAATAAATATTACTAGAAGTGCTTTAGACATGTTCCTAATTGTAGATGCCACTAACTTTCTTTGTTGTTTGGAACTGGTAGATACAATATCATACAATTGGATAGGTAATTTTTTATGAATCTGATATTTTGGGTCTTTGTAATTAACAATGCAATTTTATATAAATATTGATTATTTTGTATATTTTGATTAATATTTCATTTATTTTATGTGTTTTAGTGGTTGTTTTAAGTTAACAGAGAATGAACAAAATAAAATTTGATTGTTAAAGATATTTATAACGATAAGATTCGTAGTAGTAACTAAAGGCTTTTAACGAAGGGAATAACAATCAACAAAGGGAAATTTGATTGTTAAACTAAGGTATAACGATCAAATAATGACTTTTTAACGACCAGATTTAAATCCGGTCAGGAACTTTTTTGGACAAAGCTTTTAACGATCAGTGGTGCCCGAATTTTTTTAATCGTTATTGACCAATTACGACTTGATTAGGACTTTTAGCGATAAAAGTTGCCTTTAATAAAAGTTATTTTTCTTTTAATGGATTTTAGTAGTTGCCTTCTGTTGAGTGTACGAAGATTGGGAATACCCAATCTGTCCTTTCTCAAGAGCCCTTCCACTTTCAATTGCAGTTCTTCATAAAACTGAAACATATGATTTTACGAGAAGCCATTACTTAGATTAGTGAGCTTGTCCACGACCTTGTTTGTTTCCCTAAAGCAGTGCACCAAATTAAAACCCGCAAGCTCCTTAAGTCTAATAATTTCATTAACATCATCCATCATTCTCCAAGGCCTTGCGTGACAATTGTTGACCCTATCCATGAGACTATTTTATATTTTCAAAAGGCTTAAGTCATATACAACCCCTTAAAGTTGTCCGCATATTTCACTTGAACACCTTAACTAAGTCTTGTACCTATTGAACATCTCTAGTACTTCGAATTGATACCTATTTTACATTGAAAGACCAAACACGACCAAGTGTCGATTTTAATGGTAGAGGTGATGGTAGTTGTTGCTTAAAACAAGAGGAAGAAATGGATGTATTGGCTGCGATAATAACAAATCTGAAAAAATAAAATGATAATGATGGTAAAGGAAGAGAAAAAGATGAGGAAGAAGAAGAAGGGTGTTTATGGCAACAATGGCGGATGTGAGTGGTAAGGTGGAGAAGTGATGGCAACAAGTTCAATGAAGAAGAAAGAAATTTTTAAGTTTAAAAAATGTCTAATTTAATTTTTTCAAGCGCTTATCATTCGTGAATCACACCTAAAATGCCACTTAAGTAAAAAATGCTCAATTGGTATCAATTCAAAGTACTAGAGGTGTTCAATAAGTACAAAGCTTAGTTGAGGTGTTCAAGTGAAATATGCGGACAACTTTAAGGGGTTGTGTATGACTTAAGCCTTTTCAAAACTTAAGGATTGAGATGGGGAAGAGACTATTTTGTACTCCCTCTATTCTATTTAAAGTGAATTTTTTTAGCCTTTTTTTATTCTTCAAAATAATTAAATTGTTCAAAGTTCAAGATGTATGTTTGAAACTTTTTTCATATTATTTGACCTTTTATTTATTGAAGTTTTATATTTTATAGGAGATACTTACACTATTTACAAAGTTATATTTATGATTTCACAAAGGGTAATAGTGAAAATTATGATTTAGACTATGTTCTTAAATATTTTTCTTAATATGTGTGTGATGCCTCACAAATACAATTAATATAGAGAGGATATTATTTGAGATTTTTGTGATGGGAGATGATAGCTTTTAACCTTAAAATGATGATATCATAAAAAGTGTGTATTTAACCAATTTTTGAAGACTTGTGTCTAAACGAGAGAACCCTAAAACTAGTAGTATTAGTTAACATCTTGAAGAGTTAATTAGAGGCAGGCATTACATTTGGCAGAGGAAAAAGTAAACTGAAAGCATTAGACAGTAGTACTCGTAAACGAAGATAGTTTATTTCCAAGTATTATTCACAAAGGTTGTAAGCATCTATAACAACATACATTTTTGTTTGTTCTAGATAATTATTCTAAAACATAAATGTAACAAACAAAATAGCAAAAGAAAAAAAAAAGGATAACTATTTACAGTCGCAAGTTTCCAGAAAAAGAAACTACAAATCACTGGTAAAATCGGTAATTCTTGGCTTGTTTGATAAGAGTCCACATTCCTCCAATAGGCGATAAAACAGTGAGCAATACTCCAACTATGATGCAGAACTGAAATTTATTTGGAAAACACATAGTAAGTAACAAAAATTAGATAAAATTAAATGGATGGAATGAAATACTAATATTTTACTCACCCAATTCATCCACCAAGAAAAACCAAACCTTTTGGGTTTTACAATGATAAGCCAAATGATGCAAGGAAGCTGGAGAGGTTAAAAAAAGAGAGTGATTGATGTGAAGCAATGTATACACAAACGAAAGCTAGTGAAATCCTTATAATTGACTTACGTAATATGATGTTGGGGCTAGAGCAAATCCACCAAAGAACCCCATTAGACCACCAAAGAATGGTATGGTCATACCGACGAATAACGTCAATGCTATATTATAATAAAAAAAAGAAGATAGAGTAAATATTGATCCATGCATCATGTGTTTAAGTAATTATGGAAAATGTAATTGCACTTACCAACATATGTTGTACGAACTGTGAAGCGAAGAAAAGTGGAAGGTTTTAGTTTGATAGATTTGACGGCATATGTTTCAATCATGTCAAACATAGGCATTGCGAAAACCTGCGTAAATTATTGGTAAGTTTATGAATGTTTTAGGGAATTTAGCTGATCATAACATCCAATAACATGGATGTTTTATGCATGTACATACCTGATAACTTCCAATAACATGGACGACAACAAACATGTTAGCAGCAGCAACAAGCCACATAGGTTTTTCGAGTGAAAGCAAGATGTTATCCTCAACTTGATTACCAAAAGCCCAATAGCCAAGAAAAGCGACAGGGAGGTAACAAATGGCAACGATGATATAAGCCACCCATACACCCTTCCACATAGGACCTTTGGAAGGTTTTTCTGGTGTTGAAGGAATAGTGGCTTGAATCTCAAGAACCACATTATGGCCAGCATAGGCAAAAGCAACATCTCCAAGTGCACTCAAGAACATGAATACATTGTCGCTTGTCTTTTCACCCCTAAGTTCATAGCTCACTACCCTACCTTCAATCCCTCTACCTAGAGATGTTGCCCAAGCAACTGTCGAATATGTCAACGACATCACTGCAGCAGCCAAGGACACAAATGATATAGAATTGAAATTTGGCAAGTGAGAAAGAACAAAGTGGACTGAGGAAAAGATGATGATGAAGTAGGTAAGTTTTATTGGTTGACAATCAGGACAAACTGTTTCATGAAATTTCTTCAATGACTTGCCACCTGTAACCATGTATATTATGCAAGAACTTACGTCCACCACTATTTGTTGGGGTACAACTACCCAAAGACCAAGTTTCTCACCAAATGCATGTTGACCTAGCTCGTGGTATCTATCAAATCTTTTTCCTGGTACCATTTCATGCATCTCTACCATTTGCCATATTGTGTAAAATGTTATTGCCCATGACATCAACATTACTATCACTCCAGGGCCCCTGCAACAAATAATAGAAAATTACAATCCAACTCCTATCCTATGAATACAAATAATATATTCAATTAAGATTATAAACGTCATATATTTTTATTTTTTTTCAAGTAGTAAAAATGTTAATCAACTCACATTTCAAATATTGTATTTATTTTGCAACAAACAACTCTCTCTAAATAATAAAACTTGTAAGTTAATTTATTTAAATAAATTTTCTAGTACAAATATAAAATATAAAATCAAAAAAATAAACAAAATGATTAAAAGAATTTGAGTGATATTTTTGTCTTTACATACATTCATTTCATGATATTAAATTTTATATATTGCTAATACCACTAAATAGAAGGTATATTAGTTATACACCCTATGATACCAATGAGGATGTATAAGTAATACATGTATTAACTATACCCCACAATACACACACATTAATTAAAGCTTTATTCGAGCAGTTTAAAAATTAACCCTTGACTATTATTATTTGACCAATCTCCAACTTTTCCTATATATATATATATATCCAAAGGTACAAATATAAGTTTTTTTTATTTCTTATTTCTCTTCTCCATATTAACATCGTAAATGCAAATTTCTTCGATCCAGATCCAAAAGTGAGAGGCGCCTTGTTTAATTTTAGGGGTATCTCATCTATCCAGATAGTTTGATTGGATTTGAAATTAAAGTAAGATATATAGAAAAACTTTGAATTTGTAGCTATTATATTAACTAAATATGTTTAAAATATCCTTTAATTTTGAAATAAGTCATGTCATTCTATTAAGAAGGATAAATGTGAATGGTGGCATTAAAACATTAATAAATATAAAAAGTGATATATAATCTATTGGCCCTAATTTTTCTCTTTTTATATTGAATAAAATAATAATTTCATATTAAAATATCGTAATTTACAATCAAACAAATAAATATGACGTGGGAAAGTAAATAAACATACCATCCCATCTCAGACATGGCATATGGAAGACTGAGAACACCAGCACCAACCATGGCAGTGACATTATGAAAAGTAGAGTACCACCATTTTGCATTTCGATCGGATGTGATAGGAAGCCATGCATCTATAGCTTTCTCCTCCTCGGTTCTCGCATCTATCTCTTTTTCATTAACATGAGCCATTTTTTAATTTTTTTTTGTTTTATACAACAACAAAAAAAAAGATTTATTTTTTCTTTTTCAGTTTTGTGAAGGGAACCAATTAGAATTACAAGTTAGAGATGAATAGGGAACAAAGAAGGACTCAATTTTTGAATATGTTAAGAGTCCTCGATTTTAACCCTAGGAATGAAGAAGCATTCAGTTCCCTCACTGTATGCGCTTATGTAAACTTTTCTTATATATACTTTAAAGACCCTAAAATGACGATTCCTATTACAGGCTATCCATCAATAGCTCTGCCTCTCCATACAACTGTTATGTCCAAAAATTGTCTAATTACCACAAAAATATTTAAACCCTAAAAAATAGGCCAAAAATAAGGGTTTCTCAAAATGTGTGTCAAAAAATATCTGGCAAACTCAACCAAATATATTTATTTATTTCTCCTTGTCAAATTTATCGTACCAAAATATTTTTAGTGCTTCTTTATTTATTTATCATTGTTAAATTTATTCTACCAAAATAATTTGTGTGCTTCTTTATTTATTAGCACTGTAGCATACAAAATTATAAGGCTTAATGTACATAAACTTTCTGATTTTTATTTAATTCCTCAAACAAATTTAAAGTATTCATATTTGCTTGTTTAATACCTATATTATGTATTGTTTTATTACTTTCATGAATTGTAGTAACATTTTCTATCGAAACGCTCTACAGTTACGAGTAGCATTGAGGTGACCTTAGTCTTTTGGAATATTAATTAAGGATGACAAATATTTTTTCAATTTTAGGAAAATATTATACAAGTTATTTTAATTTGATAGAGCTGAATTTATTTTAGTCTACTATAGTAGAAATGTGAGTAAAAAGTGAGGTATTAACATGGCAGTTTTTTGTCTTTAAAATTGCATTTGAGGGTATTTTGGACACTTGACAAATGGATGCAACGTGGCTTTACCTTGGAATTGAATAGACACGAATCATTTAATCACTTCACTTTGATGTTTTCACCTTTTCCCATTTCCGCCACCTATCCGATACTCACCACCCCTCTTTCTAAACCCTTCTCTTCTAATAACAATTGCAAAATCCAGAGCTTAAAGGCCTAAGAGGTATCCATTCCACCAGTACATCATGCACCCATTGGTGCGGCGACGCCACCGACTACCCAGTCCTCATTTGCCGCCGCTATAAATGGTGGAATGCGGCATCATATCTCTCAGTCAATCAACGATATCTGTTAACTTTTACTTTTGATGATTCCTTTCCGGCTTTTGATCTCTTTACTTAGCTTCATGTCGGTGTATAATTTGTGTATAATTTTGATTGCAGGTGACTTAAAAGAAAGCTAATATTTTGGATGTTTGGAAGATATAGAGATGGGTGTGGGGTGATGTTACAACTTGAACCAGTAGTTCGTATAAGGTATTTTTTTACCGCTCTATTTGAGCTTTTAATATTTTCTCATTAATATTCTAAGGGGTCATTTGGTGTGATAGATTAGGGGAGTTAATCTCAGGATAAATTTTAAATATTCTTTATTTCCTTGTTTGGTTGCAAAGTTTGGGATAACTTATCATAAGATTATGAATTAGTATCGAGATAAGTTATCCCTCACATTAGGTAGTATAGTAATCTCGGGATACAATAGGTAAATGACAAATATATCCCTTAAAATTCTTTTTATACATCATTTTCACATTTATTTATATTTACATTATTTTTAATACCATGTATAATAATATTTACTACTCCTTATTTTTATGATAATTATACATATTTTTCTATTAAAAAATTACACTATATAAATATAATTTTTATTTATGAATTTATTTGACTAATTCTTATGTTTATTTTATTTTGATTCTCATAAATTTTCTTCTCTTTAAGAAACTTAAGAGGGAAGTTCTAGCTTAAGAAAAAAATTATATTTTTAAATACACATGGTACTTATCATGGGAATGCATAAATAAAAATATTTAAGTTAAATAAAATAAAAGTTTTATTTTAAAAAATGAATAACTTATCATAACTAAAGTGAAGGGTAATTTTGTAAACAAACAACTTGTTCTTAAAATTTATCAATATATATTATTTTGAATACAACAAATCAAACACTCAATAAAAAATAATCTCAGCACAACTTATCCCATTATAACTAATTCCAACATAATTTATCCCAACATAACTTATCCATCATAACTCATATTCAAACCAAACGACCCCTAAGGTTGTTGTTATTTTTTCTTTCGGTGAAGTTTCAACAAAAAAACCACATATGTTTCTCCTATAAATATATAGCTCCCATTTTATTTATGTGTGTACCCGTTCATGTGTACTTCGAGTTGTATCTTATGTAGATGATTAAAGAGTTTGTTTGTATTTTGCTTCAAATGATCTTAAAAGTTGAATTTTAAATTTGAATGATTATTCTGAATAGCGGAATTGCACTTCCTCACTTGAGGTGACGAGTGTATGATACCCAATGTTCTATTGCCATGGACAAATACAGTTATTTGTTATTACTTTTTAGCATGGTAAAAAGTACTATAGTGAATAGGCTAACAACTTGCTCAACTATAAACTTCCTTCGTGAAAGCTCTTTATTTTTTTTTATGAGAACGGGAACCATAGCTGCTGCACAACACAACATAGATATTATAGTTCTAAGCAAGCACTATTCGACAAGTTCGAAGGAGAAAGTACTCAAATGTTGATTGTTCTTTTCTTCCTGATTTTTTTTTTTGTGCTTAATGATTATTATTATTTATTTATTTATAAATTTTCCAGGTCGTCTGGGGTGTTATAAATCAGGAAGAAAGTTACAAGAGGACTTGGCCTTAGCCTTCGATTACAACACAAGGATAAGCACTACTTTATCCTTCAAAAAGAGGGGAGGTGAAGCTACAAAAATAGACATTCCAACCCTCGCAAAAACTAACTACCTATACGATTAGCTAACAAAAAAAATTGCCTTATCATATTTGGTCCTTATTGAAGGCATTTGATAAGTTTGATGGAAGGGTTGGGTCACCTCATGTCTCTTTTTTTGCTCTAAGTTTGATGAATTCTAGTGAATGAATCACTTAGGGTAAGTTCTAACTAAGTCACTAGGCTAAAACTGACCAAAATGATGTTGTTTAGGGATTAAACGACGTAGTTTAGGTGTCCAACGTGTAGGGGAAAAGACCAAAATGACCTAACTTAAAAGCTATCGGGGCCAACGATGGGCCTGACCAACAGACCTTGGATGGACCTACGGTCCGTCCTATTATCTCGTCGTTTGGTTGTCAGAAAAGGGATGTCGCAGGCCACAATCCACGAACCTGGACCACGGACCGTGGTCCCACCTACTGTTCGTAGGTCTGGTCGTTAGTCCAGGGTTTTTTGGGGATTTCTGGATGGCCAGCCACGGACCCTTCCTATGGTCTGTGGTTCAGACCACGGGCCGTGGGTGGGTCTTATCGGTGGCACCTGCAAGTTCAAAAGTTTCACATTTTTGGTCGTTTCTGAATATGGGGTGTTACATTATCTCCCCTTTGGGAACATTCTTCCTCGAATGAAGTCTAAACTAGCTAAATATGGAGGGAAGGACCTGTAATACCTACCACTAAGTACTAGAAATTAAATTTTGACTGAACTGAGTTCCAAGAACATGCAAATAAACTGAAAATGCAAGAACAACTGAAGGAACAAGATACTGAGACTGATTTTATGCAATAGTACACTAAGAGACGGGAGAGGAACTATTACCTGAAACTGAAACGAAATCCAAAGAAAAGAGATGAGGATACTTGTCTTTCATGGCTGCTTCTGCTTCCCAAGTATCTCCATCTACAGACTGATTCCTCCACAAAATCATAACTGAAACTACTTCTTTATTTCTCAACCTACAAACCTGACGATCAAGAATTTCAACCGGCACCTCCTCATAAGTGAGACTATCTTTCATAGACACACTTTCTAAAGGTACTATGGATGCCAGATCACCCACACATTTCTTCAACAATGAAATGTGGAAGACTGGGTTGACTGCTGCTATTTCTGTTGGCAATTCTAACAAATAAGCCACTTTACCAACCCTTTTCAAGATTCTGTAAGGACCTACCTATCTAGGACTGAGCTTCCCTTTCCTGCCAAATCTCATCACCCCCTTCATAGGTGACACCTTCACGAAAATCCAATCACCGATTTCAAATGGTAAGTCCCTTCTCCTCACATCTGCATCAGACTTCTGACGACTCTGGGCTATCTTTAGTCTATCTCTGATGAGCTGAACTTTTTCCATAGCATCATGAACCAAATTTGGTCCTATCAAGGTTGATTCACCTACTTCAAACCAACCAACTGGAGATCTACATCTACCCTCATACAATGCTTCATAAAGGGCTATCTGAATACTGGAATGCTAGCTATTATTGTAGGCGAACTCTATGAAAGGTAGGTGATCATCCCAACTTTCCTTGAAATTTATCACGCAAGCTCTCAACATGTCTTCTAAAGTCTAAATGTTACGCTTTGTACTGGCAGTTACCTGAGTACCAAGACCTTTCTGAAAAGATTTCTAGAAATGAGAGGTAAACTGAGGACCTCTATCTGATATGATAGACAAAGGAACCCCACGTAAACTGACTATCTCATTTATGTAGAGTTTAGCATAATCCCCCACTGAATCTGTAATTTTGAAAGCCAAAAAGTGAGCGAACTTAGTAACTCTGTCTACTATCACCCAAATGGAATCATGTTGTCTGCGAGTACGAGGTAAACCCGTGATGAAGTCCATGTTTATCACTTCCCACTTCCATGTAGGAATGTTAATCTCTTGAGTCATACCTCCTGGTTTCTGATGTTCTACCTTAACCTGCTGACAATTTGGGCACTTAGCCACAAAATCTGATATATCCCTCTTCATGCCATTCCACCAAAAAACTTTCTACCGATCACGGTACATCTTAGTGGCACCTGGATTAATAGAATATTTGGATTTATGGGCTTCTGTAAGGATCTACTGGCTCAAC